TAAGACAAGATAGATCAATGTCAAGCCAGAAGTGACAGAATCAAACATTTCTTCCTACAGAAAGTCTTGAAAAACTCAGATTTTACCTAATATCTTAATTCAATTTTAGTTATTATCTACTAATACACTTTGTGTGATTGTCGATAAATCACTTTCTTAACTTTTATTTATGTCAAATATCTACAAAATGATTTCATTTGTATTTCTGCCTTTTCTGTCTCACTGCCAACTTTTTACTGCCACAAAACTATTGTAATAGTTACTGCCAATTGAATCCTACTTGAACATTTCAGGTCAGCCAAAACGACTGCTTTCTTACTTATTATTTTCTATAAATTCACGAATTTACCCCTTTATATTGTTATCATCACTGAATAAATATTTCGGTCCATAAATAACAACTAAATACCTTCATTAATCCAAGCAAATCTGTTATGCAATCAGTCTACACTTGATAAAACTGAATCTATACTTCAGTATGAAGGAATATAGCAGATCGAACGTACTCTTAAATGAATATTCTTCCACCATTTCTGATAACTTTCCGAGTACCGATTATTTTACAGTTTGGTTGCGTGAAAGGTTAAAAAGTCTTGGACGTATTTGTGTAAGGTCAAAAAGAGTATTCTAAATTTATTATAAAACAAAAAATACAAAATGCAATAAAATATCCCATAAATTCATTAAAGCATAGTTTATTACATAAACTCAATAGTCAAAGTAATGGATTGGAACTCCGAATATTAAGACAACATGTCTTCTAGCACCAGTGATAAAAGTCAGTAATGAATGAAATTCAATGATGAAAAATGAAACAGTTGTTGAGCATGGCCTGGTAGTCAATAAGTAACCTTGATTTAAATCTTTAATTAAAAAAAGCGCGATATCCACTTAAACATTCCAAAACCATAGCATTTTAAAAGTGAAGGTAAACGACAATGAAAATAGTACCAGGAAGTCAGAAGCACTATTCACTCACTTTCACTTTCTGGTTCTGTCTTTATTTCAGAAGTATCTAAGTCACTGTTTGCATCAGATTCTTTTTTGAATCCATTTTGCGACATTTCATCTCCTGAACCATGCCATTTATCCTGTAATAAAGACAAAATTAATATAAAAATCGACCTACGTCTTATTAAATACCAGCACAATTTACCAAAAAAGCAATGAATGATAAAAAGCACATCTGAAAAGTCAAACTAAGTAAATCAATAAGTAACCTTGACAGACTCAGCCAGTCTTCGCTTAAAACTTTCTGGTGAAACACCACGTAAACGACGCTTTTTACTCAAACTAGGTGCCCCAGTAACCCGCAACTTGATTTGTCTTTCAGTTACTGCATCGAACAATTGCACTACTCCTCTGCAGTATATATATATGCTCATTTATACATATTTATATATTATGCTTTCATTTTGTGAGCTCTACTGAAATTAATTAAGCACCATTAATTCAAAAAACAGCTGAAAAAAACTTTGTTGCAAGGCGAACAAGGTTGCGTTCTCTTTCTCGATCTTTTATTGGATCCGGTAATACCATACCTTTCCGCTTTTCTTCATTTCTTTCAACTCTTTGGGCGTGCAACTGACGACTGGTGCGCTTTAAAACTTTCTATAAATTCTGAACTTTAGCTACAGTTAAGGATACATTTTATACTTGTTTAATATTTTTTTCAATCCATTAATATAAAAGATATAATCAAATATCTAATGGAACGTTATGACGTCCCATATTCATAACTTTATGCAAATTAACTAATACAAAAGTAGACCGTAAGAAAGAAAACACAAACTTTTCGATTCTTCTTATCGTCAAACGAAACAGTTGCTTCATCATTTACTTTTTCCATTTTTACAATATCTTCTGAAGAAAAATGAATGTTTTAACAGTTTAACACCTAAAAACCATAATAAGAAGCAAATAATACTTATATACAAAATTAGATTATCAAAAGGTGAAAAAAGCATCGCTATAAACGATTTCAGTGAAATATAAGCACATTAGAATGGTTAACTGTGTACAAGGAATATGCAAAATTATAAGAAGATAAATATGAGTAAACAAACTCTGACCCTTACAGGATGAGTAGCTAGATTCTTCCGAACCTGAAGATAATTCCACAACATCTAGCTGATCCATCTGACCAGATGACCTGTTCATATTCTTCAAACTATTTGAAATTTCTTATTCAAGATGGCAATTAAATAACCGACACAAAAAAACTGCAATAAAACACGAGAATTTAAGTAAAATACTTAAAGGCCTCGAAAATTTACTCTTGAGCTTCAAAAAAATTGACGAGAGCTAAAAAAACAGACCATGTCCATAAATTCAAAAAATGGAATGAATCATGGTTTAATTACTACTTGAATAAAATTGAAGGCCAAATTAATTTTTCACGTCAAACGAAATGCAAATCACTATCCCATGAGCATTTTTAAGTTTAATCTTTTCAAGTAATCGAAATTTAAGGCTTCGATATCCTTATGTCATTTACAGTGATATTTATTCGTAAGAGTTTACTTTCATTATTCATCTTTATGAATTATTCATTTGACGTTTATGAATGAAATTACTGTTTCTTTTGTGTATTAGGAATTAAGTTGGCAGAATTTCGGGAGTATTAATAGCAGTTGAATAAATAATATTTTTAAAATACATTTTTTTATAGCTGAAAATATCGAAATTTCAATTTAATAATTGATAGCATAGAAACTGATGGGCAATATCTCACGTTAGTTGAAGTGCGAAAATGCAAATCTTTATGCAAATTTTTAAAATATTCTTTGCAGTCGAAGATAATTTAAAATTTTTACTGAAGAAAGGTCAAATTTATTTCATCTTTGTATATAAACTTTGTATTGATTCTGCAGTTGGATATTTGAAATACAGTTATTTGTTGTATTGAAAAAAAATGTAAAACATTTTTGAAGTATAAGCAAGCTATGACTAGACTGGTTTTAAAGCTTCTAAGTATAGAGCGTTCACCCCTTTTCTGCTTCACTTATTGCTAGGATTAGAAATAGAAGTAGTAAGCATCTTTAATATTTCTAATAATACATAGAGTTGTTTTTTGAATTTGAATCAAATACAGTTTCGATTTTTTTACTTAAATATTGATTCCATTTTCGTGTCCATATCTTTGCAAACTTTCAAATTTTGCGGATAGTTCTGTGTAAAAAGAAAGATATGTGTGGTTCGAATTTAAGTATATAATTTTAATTTTATTTTTAAATTTCTTTTCAAACTAATTTATTTTTACTATCCAATATTGCAGTTTGAGTCACAGAGTAATCAAAAAATTCGTTAACTTTTATTCATAAAATTTAAATCATCCTCGCGGTCATTTATCTGAGCTGTTACTCTTTCATTTTGGATCATCAAGGAAAAACTCTGTCACAAATACGTGAGATATACGTTCATAGCATTAGTGCATTCGAATAAATCGTTTTTTTTCTGTCTTAAATGGTCGGATTAAGCATATGCAAATCATAAAATTGAGACTACTATAAGCTTTTATGAGTTTTTCATCACTAAAAATTTTCATATGCTCAGCAGGCCTTCTCACTGATGCCATCCCATATTCTGTCGTTTTTTTTTGAATATATATATATATACTGATTATTCAAATTTTACATTCTGAATATGACGCAGTAATAATATTTTTGCTTATTAAGTGAGGCCAATTTTACTAATTATGAATTATGTCACTAGAAATATAAATTATAATTAATAAGTTAAAAATTTAAGATGGTTCATTTTTTCCCTTTAAAAACCAATAATGCCTCATTTTTTATTCATTAGCATAGTGAATTTTCTACAAAGTTATGTTAAATAAATAAAGTTACCATGAATTCAGTCCTCTCTTTAAGCAAAATAGCTTGAAGCTCACTGAAATATTTTTACTTCAGTAATAATTACTTGATGACTGTGTAACGATTGAACAGATTACAGTGACTTAATTAATAAGTAATAATTTCAGGGATGAGAATGTTTTGAAGTTAAACTACTAATTTTAACAATTTATTTTTGTCATGGAAGGATTAAGAGGTCATATTTACTTTTTTTGTAAAATATTTTTTCATGGTAAAGGTATTCTCATTTTTTACTCATTAGTATATTGAATGTAACGAAATTTACAAAAGTAGCGAAATAATAACAAAGTTTACAAATAAAATACTTTACAAAAATAGCAAATATGATCTCTTAATCCTTCCATGACAAAAATAAGTTGTTAAAATTAGTAGTTTTTGTAAAAATACTACAGTGAACAATTTTTTTTTCGAAAATTGAGTCACTTTAAAACTTATTCAAATAATTTGAGGATCATAATAACAAAATTTGCATATAAAAACAATAAATTTATTTTGGAAAGTTAGCACTTATTAGGTAAGTAATCATTCAGTGAATACTCAACTGCATTTTTAAGCGATTGTTTGATCCATTCGATCCTCAGACTTGTATTGTTTGTTATTTTTCTAATAATATTTGTTATTTTTGTTATTTTGTTTATATAATTTTGTTTGTTATTACTATTTTTGGCGTTTATTATTATGCCAAAATATTATTATGGCTCATTATTATTGTTGTTTTTTTACTGATAAGTAATAAAGCAAAAGATATTTTGTTATTTGGCATATATTATTTGTTTATTAAATCTAATCTCGTCTTTACTTTCTTTTCAGACCACAGTTTTATCAGAGGTATAAGTCTAATTATTAGAATAACAGAGTGAATTACTGCATTGGATATTTTGCTTAGTTTGGGAGGCAAATATCTTCCTGTATCAGGAAATTGATGATCATTTTAATTCAGTTTTTGAACGCAATAAAGTCGATGAAATGTAACTAATGCACTCAAGGAAATGACAACAACTAAGTAAGTATTCATTAAAGTATGTACTTACAAATTATTATTGAAATTTAATAAATAATTATTATTATTTAATTTAAATTGCTTGCATTGATCTATGTATGAAATATTTAATTTGCTACTGAATTCTAAAAAATTAAATTGTTTTTATATTTAACGTGTCATTTTCTTACCTATCAAAGTATTTATGATAATTTTTTTCTGGCTTTTCAATTTTATGAATTACTATGCTTTCAACAGGTACTCTATAAGTGACAAATATGATCTTAATAATAACTGAGCATAAAATAGTTCTCCGTATATATATTTTTACCAATCTTAATAATTGAATTTTTGAAGTGAATGTGACAGATGAATTTAAAGTAAGCACTCAGCAAAAAATAAGTAGCAAGAACATGAAAAGAGATTCGTATTACCGCCTGAAGTATAAAAAGTGTGGAATCAGTTTGTCGTTGTTTTTATTAGTTAATATGATATATTTCGTGAAGTTGAAAATTGAGGTAGGAATATTGACTATCTAAGAAAATCAGATGAGAATATCGGAAGAAAGATTGATATTAACAAAAGTAGTAATTACTTGCAGGAGGATAAAATTACTTCGAACTTAGAATCTGTTCATTTTTGCAGAAACTTTTTCAGATTATTAATCTTGTTGTTATGTTTGTTGAATGAGAATGAGATTTAAATACTTTAGTAATTCGATTAATTAAGGATTATTTGGTGATTGAAGAAAATTACTAAAAAAGTATTAAAATTTGATTACACATATTAATCATGTATTGAAAATGTGTATTATAAGGTAAATATTCATAAATTTAACTAATATCAAATCGAAATTTATGACTTTGTTTCAAATTGCTCAAAGCACTTGCTGATAGAAAAAAATTAAAAGAATTATAGTGATATATATTCTTGCACTGAACAGATGTTATTACTTTTAAGTAAATACTTGTAAAGTTAGAATCACTTAATTTTATTTGACATACATTGTTGAATAATGAATAATATTATTTATGCTTTGTGTATTCAGAACAACACCAGATACCTATTTGTTATTACAATTCGACTAACTTTTGGGTTCTTCACAGAAATGACAAAACAGTGAAGTTGAAAGGTATTATCAGTGTTCTAAATTTTCGTTTAATTTGCACAGACCTCATGGATGTTTTGATCTGTTGACTAATTTCTGTTTTTAATTAAAAAAAGTTAATTAAAAAATTTTTTGTAAAATAGATAAGAATGATGCATACTTTTGCTACTAACGTAAGTATAATTCAAAAATTAATGTTTAGATTTTAAGTTCGAAATTTGTCTTCACTAATGATAAGTTCTCATATTTTTACACCATCGCAGTACTGTTTTGATGATAAGGTGATAAGGCGATAAAGACTGGTGTGTGGGTGGACTTATTGGGTTGAGGTAAGTTCTGATCTCTTTTTTGTTGATATTTCACTTGAATAGTTTACGCAATATTACGTGTTATTACTACTGGGGGAATAATTACTTCAAACTTGAAATCTATTCATTTGATTGATCATTTTTGATAACTGTTTTGATTAGTTGAACAAGTACTCAGATGCCAAGAAAAAATATTTTTTAGTGTCGTGAAAAGTGAAAAGTACAAAACATACCTGTTTTACTTATTTATTTTTTATCAATTTTTTGTAAAGAGTTTTGAATGCTGGAAGAAAATTGAAAATTTTGATATGTAATTATTGTTTTTAGTGCATTATTGATTCTCTCATAAGATAGATTACCAGAGATTTATTCATTGTGCTTTCGAAGATGAAAAAAGAAGATAACTTTAACAAATATTGTCTTAGATAACTTTAACAAATATTGTGCAGATGTCAAGCTTAATATAAACATAGTTTTATCTTTAATCATTCAATTTTATTATTATGAATGTGATATAATATTCGTTTTTTATGATAATTTTTGATCAAATTCATACTTTAATGGAAAAATATGCAGTCAAAATAACGCATTTGTGAAAATTTTCTAAATGTATTCGAATTTATCTATTTGTAATTTACACTTACATGCAATAAAGGCTTGATAATAATAAGGTAATCCGAAGCCTATCGCTTGATGCAGTTTGCGCAACGGTCAGTGAATATATTAAACGATATTTGAATTTGAATAATATATAAAAAGTTGCACAACAGATGGCTGATAAAACTGTGACTAGAAAATCAACTGAAAGCAATTCAAAGTATATTTTATTTTATCATTTTCATGTAGAAAATCATAGCAGTTTATTATTTTTCTCTCAAGTTATCACGTGAAATAAATAAAATTCGTTTTTTTGATTCATGAAAATTGCTTACTCTGTTTCACATGTGAATTTTTATAGTTATTTTTATATTTTTATGATTCATTTTAGTGATAAGTAATTTGAAGGTATGATTTAATTACAGAGAGAAGCAAAAAAACCTTGGCCATAACTGCAAATGTGATGCTCAAGAAGAAGCGTCCTTTGAAGAAACAAATTTCCATGTGAGTACTGTAATTTTGATTCTACTAATTTTAATTCCATTATAGAAAATTAATTATATCAGTTTGTTTGTAGTTTCTAGAGAATATTTCTTACGAGTTGAAACAAGTCTGCTTTAATAAATTTAAATTTAAAAAGGATTAGGATGTAAGCGATCAGACAAAAAGTAAATTGATGTTTCTAGGAAAATAATTGTTGTACAGATTCAGATGAAAAATGCGTTGAAATCAGTACTTTACGAAATGTCAATAGAATTGTAAGTTTGAAGAAAATTTTTTAGTTAAACAATTAAACATAGCTAACTACAAATTTTAGAAGTAGAGCCATAAAGTGTTTCAGTTTAAGCACCTCAGTGCATTTTCTGACCTTTGAAGCAATGTCTTGTGAAAAATTTCTTTAGCTAAGTCATTCAATTTCTAATGTTTTATTCACGTAAGATTCTGCTATGAATTCGCATTTGATGAAACGAAAAGTAGATATTATCAAAATGTTGAAGGTCATTTATAGATGGTTTCACATCCTTTGATATTAAACATAAATAATTGACCTTTGTGCAAAATGAAAAAAATGAAGGAAAAAACCGTTGAAAAAGTGTTGATTGTATAAAAGAGCGCTACATATTTTATGGTACTGAGAGACTGATATATCTCTAATTAAAATTTTTTTGCAGTTGATTTTATGTGCATCAATAAAATGCTTAAAAGAGTTAAATTAAGATATAATGAGTAAAATTGTTAAACTAAACTTTGACCTTAATGTATAACAACAGCTAACAAATAAACTGGCAGAAGCAGAACGAACAGTGCAGTTTTTGCAAATACAATTAAACTTTTCTGAAAAAGCAAATGAAGCTAAGTTAGAATGCAAGGTAGCTGGTAAGTTTTATTAAATCCATCTTGAAGTAAGTATTTTGATTTTAGCTTACTGGTAAGTGATTGCTTAACATGCTGCTTAGCTGTTTTTAAAAATATTAAATTCGTAAGGCTACAGTTCATGCATTGCTGAAAGCGTGAACTGTTACTACTTTATGAAGAAACTGTACTTTTGAAAAGACTGAATTTTGACTATTTTTATTTTGTAACTGATAAATTACTGATTTTTTTTGACTCCTAGACATAACTTATTTTAACCTTGTAAAATATGTTGAAAAATTAGTGGAATATTTCATTTCTGGATCATTATTTTGCTACAGTTCGCGCTTTCATCGATGAAAGTGGATAAATGATGCTTTGTAGTTTGTTCTATGTTTTTTACAATAATTTATTTTTCACAGATATCATCCAGCAACTGAAACTGCGATTACCTGATAATCAATCTCGTAATGAAGCTGTAAAAGTCTGTTCTACATATTTTTATCAGTCATGCAATTAATTATCATATGTAGTGTCTAATAAACTTGATAATTTTTTTATCTTATTTTTTCAGATACTAAATAGTGCTGGTTCACTTGCAAAAAGTGATATGTATCCTGTTTTGAACAGTTTGCTGCAAGAGATTGATCAGGATGACAAAACAGTCTCTCCAAATTCAGAAAGTATTCAAAAATATTGTAAACGATTCCTTGAATTTGCTCAAAAATGCCCGCCCATTTTAATTGACCTTCAAAATCAAATAAATGAAGTAAGCTTTTTTTCTAGTAACAAAGTTAATTTATTATCAAAAACTTTTGTCAATTACTGCTGCAGTATGATTTGTACCGATTATATCGGTATATTCATATTATTTTTGTATTTAAATTACTCAAAAAATTATTATTATCAATTGACAGCAGCAAACTTAATATAAGTCAGTAATATTTTCATATCATTTTCAACTTTGATAATAAATTAAAGTAGTCAAGTATGAAATTTTGAAATTTTTTAACATTTTGAAACTTATAATTACACGATGAAATTTATAAGTAAATGAATGAATGCCTTCTTCATCTACGTGTTTATTAGAACGAAAATACGCAAATATTGCGATGTTTAATGGATTGGAACAGGTTTATGTTTATTAGTTTTCGATAATGCAGTTCATATATTTGCTATTAAAGTTGAGCAAAAAAATTTTTTGCTCATTTAATATTGTGAATACTAATCAAAAATAGGTAAAAATTTTGCTCTTTTCATATTCTTAAAATTGTCTGAAAATAAAAGTAATTTATTGCATTACTTATTTTTTAAGTTAAGTTACAATTTGTGAATAGAAATGCTAATTATACTATATTTTGGGCAAAATTTTCACACTTCATTCAGTTAGTATTGTTTGAATATTTGATATTTTAGTTGACTGATTTTTAAATCTGTTAGTTCTAAGCAATAAATTTGATATTAACAGTAAAAGTAAAATGCAAAATGAAATTCTTTTTTATTTCTATTGTATGGAATAAAAAATTTATTTTTCAGCATATTTTCAATATTTATATCTTTTCTTGCTCATGACAAGTGTTCATTAAAATAAGCAGAAATCTGGTGTATTTTTTTGAACTAATGTGTGAATAACATGGCCAGATTTAATATTCAATATCATTTGGATATGAAAAACTTCCAAACAATTTTATTATCGCTATAAAAGTGTGAGGGAGAATAAAATAATACAGTATTCAGATAGCTATCGAGAATCAAATCAGCAGGTTTAGCACTTGAGTTTAGTTTCTGAAGTGAAATATTACACGTTTGTTTTGATTATACATTTCAGTCCTCAGAAGTGGTATGTTTATTGTATAGGTTAGAATTATATTTAAATAATTTATTGCCAAAAACGTTTTGGCAATAAATATTTTTTCAATAATATTTCACTAATTATGGAATTTTTAAACTTAATTTTAAGCACAATTGCTCATTTACTTCTATTCCTGGAGCAATGTTTGACCTTTGATATGTGCCACTTCGAATTTAACAATTTAATTTCTGAAAAATTCTATAATTGTAGTTAAGAATTTTTATTTCTGCTGTTAATTTGCTACATTTTTAAATGAATTGAATATATGAAGTAAAAAAAAACGATTTCTAGCATTCATTTCTTCACTTGATGTTTTTGCTTTTTGACCTCAGCTAAGATGTTTGGGGTCATTTATAGTTGTACATAACTTTTATTTCTGAAACTTTCATGTAGCAAAACAGCAAATTTAGTAATAATTTTACGGTTTTTTCATTCAACTTTCGACTTAATTTATACTTAGACTTATTTCAAGATTCATTTTTTTTTAGTCTTTTTTACTTTGTTCAAAGGTTCTCCTTAATTTGTTCCGCATGATCTCAACATTTGTATTCATTTCACATATTTGGCTTGTAAATAATTAAGTGATCTGATTTAAATAATGTTGCAATATTTTTAAATTAAACACTTTGAACTTTTGAACTAAATTTCTACTTATTATTATCATTACTGTGACTGAATTTAGTGATTAATTAGAAGTGAATTTTGTGTTGTAAATTTAACATTTTTTATTTTTTCATATTCTTACTGGCAAATATTACTGGTTTGATTGCAGTGAAATCATCAAATATTTTATTCTCAACCTTTTTGTATCAATTATAAAATTCCTGTTTTACAACAAGGCCATTAGACTTTTAATTTAATGCTGAAATCCTTCTCTATCGCTAATGCCTGTCTAATACTTTCGAGGATTATAAACCTAATCTCAAATCTTGCTAGATATTAGCATTCATTTCTACTAAAACTTATCTAATCGTTTCAGTATGGAAACAAAGCAATCATTAAAAATAACTTTTTGTGCAGTAATTTTAAATTTAAGAAAAAAGAGTAAAGCAGTGAATTGATATCTTAAAATTGAGGGCTTTTTTCTCCAAAATTTTAAACGAAACTTTGTAAAATCTTTTTAGCGCTCATAAGTTTCAGTACTTCTTGCTTGATTCGTAACTTTTGTTAACTTGAAAAAGTAATATTTTTTGTTAATTTGTTAGTACTGATAATGATAGAAATTAATTATATTTGTGTTCTACAGGAAAAAGGCAATTATATTGTGATGAATAGTGCATCAAACGATAGTCTTGAAGATGGAACCTGCATAAATAACCATCAGCCAGTGAGAATACATTTTTTATCATTTAAGTTTGAGAATTTTTTTTAGTAAGAGCTTTGAAAAAAATAATTTAATATCAAAATTGGAAATGAGTTTAACTTAACATTTTTTGATGTAAAATTTTATGCAATATTATTTTCTAACATTTGCATAATAAGCTAATTATGGTCATTGTATGCATAACTGATGGAGTGATTTTCAGATCAAACATAATTTGAAAACGTGGAATTTCAGGTCACGTCAACAAAAGCAAACATGATTATGTACCGTGAACAGCTAGCAATGAAGGATGCACAGTTGCGACGACTTGAGGAAGAAATTGCCAATGCGCATCGATGTGTATGAGAATTCTATTGCATTACTTTAGTCATTGAAAATTTAAATTCATTTTAGTTGAAAAAGCAAACCATGAAATTTTATTATTTTTATATATGGCATCGAAAAATGGCACATTTTAAAGGGATATTTTTCGAAATAGTGCCCAAAATATAGAAAGATTATTTCTTATTCTATCACATTTGCAAGAAAAAAGTATTAAACAAATAAATGCTTCAAAAATAAAAAACTGTTCTACAAAAATTGATGAATTGTTTTCAATTTAATTTGATAGACTTTTTAAATTAGCTCTGAAAAAGATTATTTTATCTTGCACTCACATCTCATCTTGTGTTGAATGGTTTTCAGGTTTTAAGGTGTAATTTTTTGTAATTGCAGAATCAGCAATTGAATGCAAAACTTGGCTCAATGGTTACTCAGAATAGTGCTAGATTTAAGAATCAAGAAAAGGAGCTTAAAGTAAGCTTTCATTCTGTTAAGAACAAAAAATACTTGCGAGATGTGACGATTATCCTTACAGAGTTATTGTTTTTGTATTTGCAAATATAGAAAGGTTTCTAGTCTTCTTCTATTTTTTAATAGTATTAAATTTTTATTTATTTATCCTGTAGATCTGTGAGTATACGCAGATCGGACATTTATCTAATTTTATAATTGATTTGCTTATTTATTTACTGCATAAATTAGGCAAGGGGATTATTCATTTCAGATCTAAATACTGGTTTATAACAGTTCGAATAGTTATTTGAAAGTCTTAGAAGTCTACAAATAATTGAAATAATTAGACAAAAGTTATTTTAATTATTGATGACTTGTTTAATATTAAATCCACAATTTGCTACTATCAATTTTCTTCATCAATTTCCATAAACAATAAATTATTATTTCTATAAACATTCCTTTAAAATGTTAATATTCGATATCATAGTTTCAAGTTTCCTCGGGGATCATTTGCTTGGTTTCTGTGGTGCATAAGTTTGATGCAATGAAGTCTTTGATAACCTTGAAGTTAACTGTTTTATTTTGATCCTTTTTAGTGTTAGTTCTTTTTTTTCAATATATTTCTGCTTATTATTAATCTTTAGCGTTTATCAAGAATAAAGTAGACACTAACTTAACTTTATTTCTAATATACTTCACATTAAGAGTCCAATAAATGCTGGAAAAATGAAATATATTTGGTGTCTTGTACAGAAATTTCGGCTTATATCTTCTGTATAGCTTATGATCAAATAAATTAATGATTTGGATCTGTAATCGTTTGACAGATTAGTTTGTGATTGGATTAACTAGTTTAGTATGAGGATAAAGTATAACTATACCAAAATGCGAGCAACCTTACACCATATTTGTCTGATCCAAGCGTTTAAAATGCCTTCATCTAGCACATTGTTAAGGATGTTTGAGAAGCCTTAAATATTCACAAAATTGTATTAATTTGCGAGTAAAGTTACTATTCATAAGCAGGTATTTAATTAAAACATTTTAAAAAATATAGATTTTCGATGTGTCTTTAAAAGATTAGACTTAGTTTAATGTTTCTTGTCATAATTAAGCACAATAATTACTGTAATGAAGGAGGTATATTTTCATGAACAGAGGTGAATGTAAAGAAAATAATAAATTTCGATGGATTATAAATTATTGATTTTGAATAAAATTATTAATTTAGATTTTTTGCTAAATATGGAGGCAGTTTGGCAAAAAAATATCTATAATAAAATATGCGTAATTTACATGAAAATGGAATATTAGTTAAAGCTAGCTTACCGTCATTAAATGCAAATCAAAGCGTACGTGGACTTTCACGTAAAGTACAGCACAGACTATAATAAGAATACAATTTGTATTTTAAATTAAGCAAACCCAAAGTTTTATCATGTTCGTTTATAATTTCTGCCAGAGCCTAATTGCAAATTAATATTTATTTTAATTATAAATTTCCAAAATTAAGCATGTTAATACGAAATTATAATATACTAAAGAACTGATCTCAGTGAAAAAAATGAACATATTTGACTCATTTACTGTATTCCAACTCTGCGATTGCCTCGCTTTTGCTTGCACCTTGCATACTTTATCTAATACTGCTGTTAGCAATTCAGTTATAACCTACAATTACTAAGGTTAAAGGTTACTCCGGAAATAAACTCAGGAAATTGTATCCTTGCAGGTAATTAACTAGTATAGATGACTCAAGTTGCAGATATGTATACGTAATTTGCATTATTATTCAATGTTTATATTTGTATTATTTGTTTAGAAATTGATAATAAAATGCTATCCTCTGTATGTGGTTCATGAACGTCGTAGCAAAATGTCGAGAGTCGATATATCGTCTAATTTTTTTTCATCTTACGTGGGTCGTCCACACTTTTTATTATAATTGTCAAAGCTGCTTGAAGGTAACTGCAGTATTCACTGAAATAATAATAATTGTTGATATTAATGCTAATTTTGTCTGTTTTATAGTTATCACTGCTATTTCTGTTAGCAGTTATTATCAGTATGACTATGCTATTAATAGTTGAGATTAACATCTTACTATCATTTAATATCTCTTACTATCTTGTTATTATTAGCATCTTACATCCTTATAGCTATAATATTGTAATAGCTATAGTTTATATGACTCTTTTTTCAAGCTATTGCTTACTACATTGAATGTAGATCAAAATCTCACGCTATATTGATGTAAGTTTGTCGTCGGCATTTAATAATAAGTAATATTTTTTTAAATAGACAAATTATAATATTTGCCACAACAGTACTGATTAAATTGCAGTTTTAACTGATTGCAATACTGTTGTTTAATCAGTGTATCATTTAAATTTAACTGATTTGCATGATATCAGTTATTGTTATAATAGTATGGCAGTTGATACTCTAATTCCATATATGTTTTCATACAAATTACCAGCAGAAATATACTGAAAATTCTGATCATACTGTATGTTTCCTTTCGGTAGTTTTTACCGAATTTCCATAGAGATTGCATCTGTCCCAAACTTACCATCAAATTGATAAAAGTTGGCTGTATTATTTATACTGAAAACTAGCACTCATTTGCATGATATCTGTTATCACTATTATTTTAACGTAATTACAGTATGAGTAGCAAATTAGAATCGATAAGGACTAATTTTGTAGCTTGTTGTGAAGCATATGGTATGTATGCAAGATTACAAGGTTATCAGTTAATTAGTATTAAGTAATTAGCATTTGGGTGAAAATTGATAAATTATTAAGCGGAGGAATAGATGGATTTTGAAGTGCTTATCCTGATTTTCTCATGATTTTATTATTTTTGGTTGACCTGTAAGTTGAATTTAGCTAGTTGCATCCACTGGCTTTGAGCTTGTCGTAAATCGTTCAAAAGTTCTAATGTATTTTTCTGTGAAGCACTGACCTTTACTTCTGTTTGATCATTTTTTGAATCAGCTAATTCTTCGTTATCTTCTTTGTTGATTGATGCATTCTAGCAAAGATTATACTTTTCATATCGTTATCATTTGATCATTTCGTATTCTTGCTGATTTTTATGCTTTCTATGATAAGATACACAAGCATATTTGTCAAAAAATTATTAATTTCTAGCATAAACCATTTTAATATTTGTCTTAGTAAGTATGTAAATACTGATCTGATTTGAGTATACTTCATTTGATATTTGTCCTAGTAAATACTGATCTGATTTGAGTGATATACTTGTGTATTTGTTTTACCACGTCCTTTAAATTTTTGAACTTCTAAGTTAAGCAATAAGAATGTTTGTTTTTGCTTCTCAAAAATGATTTAAAATGAGCCATCAACAAATAATAAAGCAAATCTTTAACTAAATATGAATGATATTTCTTTCTTCAATGCTTGATAGATATATCAGTTACGGCCTAGAAATATATCCGAGTAATGCTTGAAAAAAAATTTTAACAAATATTTTACTTGGCTCAATTTGTTGTCGATTGTTGCTTAGTTATTCCTAAACTAGCTAAAATTTATGCGCACATATAATTGTGTATTGCTGTAAGGAATTAAATCTGAGAGTAATATTTAGAATATTCAAATTTTTTCAAAATCTTTTATTTTTTGATGTACTAAAATGTGTTTTGCTTGGCTTAGTGAGCATTTGCTTACTTTATTTTTTGCATAGAAATTTTTTACACGCATTTTTGCAGAGAAAAAGTCGGAACAAGAATAAGTGGAAGAATTTGCATAGAATTTATTCATGTTCATGTATTCAGATAAATTTTACTGCATAAAATATGTATTTTTTAAATAGCACTTATTTAAATTGCTTACAAAAAGTGATGAACAACTAACTCAGGAAACATTGAGGGTAGTAGTTACTACTTACCTTGTGTCTAAGGTACTCATGGTACATTTTTGTATTTTTAAAAACCTAATAGCTGTTGTAAATGTGAGTAAAACGTTTATTTGCTGCTAGAAATGAACGCATATGAGTAAGTAAAGGATGTTTATATGCTGATTTTTGCAAATGTTTCTGAATAATTTCAGCTGTCTAAACGAAAATTTCATTTTAAGCATTAAATCCATTTGTAGTTTTTAAAAGCTTTCCAGTTTTCGACGAGATCCGTTTGATTAATTACGACTAAAAATGTTCAAAACCATTCAGTATTTTGCATTTTACGTGAAAAATAGAATAAAATTTTATTTTTCACTATTTTATTCGTAGATATTTGTGTTTTCACATCAACAACTGTATGTTTACTTTAAGTACACTTAACAAAATAATAGTTCAAAGAATTTTCAATGAAAATCTTTTATCATTACTTTTGCGTAAAATAAAAAGTATCAAACGTCCTACGTGCTTAATTACGTACCAGGTAAAATTAATTAGTTGCTGGAGATAAAAAATATACTAAAAATAAGTTTTTCATTTCTTATTACGGTTTAGAAGGCATTATTGTCAGCTTGAGACGTATTTTTATACTGGTTATTTGCTTATTTTATCGGTAACAAAAAATGAATTATCAGTTTGCATAGAATACATATAAAAAGTCGTTATATAATGATATATTAATTTTTATAGTACTTTTAATTGTCGTAAACATGACTTCCACGCAGGCAATTGTGATTAAAAATATTTTGACTTTGTTATTGCTGTTGACATTAATTTCCAGTTTTTTTAACACAAGCAATTGTTGTTTTACACTGGCTTCGGTAGTTATTTCTTTTTGCCTGCAAATAAGTAAGGTCAACCATTTAAGGTCAACCATTATTGTAATTTAGCTATGAATTATTTTATGTGATTTACAAATTTGCTATGAAAATCGTAATAATGATGATTTTTTCTTCACCAAAAATCTTAATAAGAATATTTTGATAAAAAGTTAGCATCATTTCATGGCATCAATGAATAGGTTTTTAATTTTTGCTGATCGTAGTTATGTTCATCATCAGACAGATGAATAAAAATTGTAATGTTGTGAGCACGAATTTCCTTAGTAGTCACTCAATTCTGTTGCCTTGTTTTGTGATTCTGAACGAGATGATGATTCTAATGCAATATTGTCATCAGGAAGATTCCATTATTTCATATTAATATCATCGATTAGAAATTTATGCTAACTGTTGCCGAATTTACTAATTAAGAATCTATATTGCTCGTTTTAGTTAGAATGCTTTAAGTTTTTGCATTAATCATTGCCACTTGTTATATTAATGTAATGTATGTTTAAGAACTTTGCATTAATTCATGCTATAGTTGCCATTTTAGCTTTCACAACCTTATCACGTGGCAATTCACGTCATATTCACGTAACAAACGTAGATTATTTATCTCAGCTGAAATGTGAAGCTTGATTTTTTACTTAAATTAATACTGCTAGTGAACTTTAAACTGGTATTTGCTATTATTATTGTCTGACTATTTGCACTAAAGTATTGACTAATAACGTAATAGTTATGATTCGCAGTGAGTATTATTCTGTAGTGATGGGTATTTTTCGCGGCTTTTTTTGTCACCGATATGCCTTTACCGCGTAATTTTCAGTACTGGCTAGTTTTGTAATGTGCATGTGGCATTATCAGATAAATGTTTGCTAGGAGGTATAAAAAGCAAAAATGACTAATAGCAGAAAGTCGATAGCATTCATGTTTGCTTCCTATATTACTTTTTACAGCTAAATATATACACATATATATATATATATAAATTGTGAGTGAGAAATCATCAATTTTCTTTATAGTTATTTTGTAAGCAAAACAAAAAATTAATTCAGTCTAATTTTCAATAATTCTAAGGATCAGACGTGTTTACACAATTTTTGATTTATGCGTTATTTACCGCTTAATTTGGAGCAAAAAAAGTAAAGAAGATATTTGTTGAAGCATTTATATAGTCAAGAATATCTGTGGGGTTATAGAAAATTTGATAGATAACATAGATCAAATAGACAAGTTTATTGTAAGAAACAATCGGAAAATGATTACAAAGTTTCGAGCAGAGTTGAGAATATTAAGTTATGGGAAAGTTGAAGAAAGTAATATTGCATCTGTCTTTGTTTACAGTCCGCATCGTTCCTGGATTCAGTACGCTGAAGTAAGTTGAGTACTGTGCATGGAAGGCACGAAATATTCTGAGTAGTAGTATAATGTTTGATATTTGTATTTATGTACATTTCTGAAAAGTAGTTTAGTTTTTCAATTTGCTTCATCTGCTCGGTGTATTCTGAGGATAATTCACTTTTTAAGAAGGCAGTTCGAAGCTAACATCTGGAATGGCAATTTATTCTGCAAGTTTTGATTTTGTGCTTGTTTTAGTTTGTATTGCTTGCAAACTAGGCGTGTATTCTGGCAAGATAAAGTAGTCGAAACTATAGTAAAGTGGATAGCAATTAGCACACAAAAGTTGTGCATAATTATTATTCAAATATAAGAACTGATCTCGGAATCAGATAATTAATGGATTGATTGTAAATAAGGCTAGAGTGATGCGAGTTGTGATAACTGAACAGTTCATCTGTTCATCTTTAGTGCAGAATTTTTGCATTTTATTTGGAATAGTTCTTCAGAATAGTTTGTTTTGATATTTTTGTGCAAAAATATTTGGCAAAATGATTTTGACTTAGTGGTGAAAAACTGCACATTTTGAGGGCACTGATGGCGAGAGTAGAGAAAGATTGAAATGTTTGATAATGTGAAATTATTTTCCAGTCTTCTCGTGAAGTTACGTCGGCTTTGTTGAAAGTTTACAGATTTTTAAAGAAGTAATTTTAATGACTAAAAATTATAGTATTGTGCTTAAAATTGAAGATACGACAGTTTGTATATCTTTTATTTTTGCGCAGTTTTAGATGAGATTGAGCAGAGGAAGGACAGAATTAGGGAATGAATGAATAAATGAATAAAAGAATGAATGGATGGATGAGAACGAATGAATGAAAGGATTAGATTTGAGTCTTTTTGAATTTGATATAATTTGTTCAAAACTCTGAAATAAATTATATTTAGCTCATGTTTGTATTAATTTGTAAACATTGTAGGTGACAATTTTTAAATTTTGATCAAATATTACTTGTTAAGTATTGATGTACATCAGATCGATAAAGTATAATTCATTAAAAATTTTTCATAACCATATGAGGTATTTTTGTAATGATTTGGAAGTGCAGTCAAATTATGCGACAATTTTTTTTCCATCAAGAAATTAGAAATTATGAGTTCCATGTGCTGTAATTGTTCATGCATTTCTTGCGAGCAAGAAAAACACTTTGGGTGTTGATGAGCGAAGTTTTTGAATTCTTAATGTCAAGGTTAATTTCTGCTACGATCAAGATTTGCATCACGACAAATATGGTAATGTGTGTGTGTGTATGTGTGCGTGTGTGTGCGTGTGTGTGCGTGTGTGTGCGTGTGTATGCATGTGTGTACATGTGGGTGTGTGTATGCATTCGAATCTGTCCGAATTAAGAAAGATTCAGCAAATTGCACTAAAAAAACAAAGTTATTAGAATTTATTATCATAAAGCTTTTTCCAGACATTTTTCTTGCAGACGGGCATTGTGAGAGCACAGGAGAAAATAATTTTTGTAAGGTCGACATATGATTTTGTATAAAACTTTTTCCAATCATTCTTTAACTTGTTCACTTCATCGATTGATTTATTGAATTGAGTTGAATTGAATTGAATTGAATTGAATTGAAATGAATCGTATTTACATAAAACCTTATTGATCTGATCTTTCGCATAGCAATTTTGCAAATTCATTACAAGTTTGTGCTCGTAGCCTATATGATAAATTTAAGCTAATGCACTTTTTTACTAGCATCTGATGGACAAGTAAGTATTTGTGCTAACAGTGTGCTTGTTAAGAAGTTTCAAATATTCTTTAAAAGTGTTATGTACATTTGTTGTGTCATTGAAAAGTAATAAGGCTTATCAGGATGTTTGGTAATTAATGTAATGTATGAGTTGTGTATGTTTGGAAACTATGTGACACACTGTGCAAATAGA